GGACTTCGGGTTTAGGCGTTTAGGGTTTTTTAATGTTAGTTCATTGTGCTCTGCGGTTGCAAGGGTGTTTAGAGGTGTGTCGAAATTAAGTTGCTAGAGGGTTGTTTTTAGACCGCAGATTCCTACTCCCCGGAACCTCTAAACCTGAGAACCAGTAAACTCTCCTGGTAAAAGAACCCAGAATGACAAAGTAAAAGTCAAGGACCTGTAAAGGGGGCAGGAAGGTAGGTTGTTTCATCGGTTGACTTTTGTAAGGACTTTTGTTTGGCATAAATTTTGCACCTTAACCTCTAAACCCTAATCCCAAAACCCTAAACCCCTACACCCTAAACCCTAAACCCCTAAACCCAAAACCCTATACCCTAAACCCTAAACCCTAAACCCTAAACCCTAAACTTCTAAACCCTAACCCTCCCTCCCACCTTCTGAGCTCTCCGAAAAGCCCTTTCCCAGCCGGGTGGCGCCCTCGGCGTGCCTCTACGAGCAGCCGGGACCAAGCGATGAAGACCTCGGAGGAGGGCCGCAAAGAGGTTTAGGGGTTCAGGGTTTAGGGTTTAGGCTTTAGGCTTTAGGCTTTAGGCTTTAGGCTTTAGGCTTTAGGCTTTAGGCTTTAGGCTTTAGGGTGTAGGGTTTAGGGTTTAGGGTTTAGGGTTTAGGGATGTAGGGTTCAGGGTTTAGGGTTTAGGGTTTAGGGTTTAGGGTTTAGGGGTTTAGGGTTTGGGGTATAGGGCTCGGAGGAGAACTTCACAAAGAGGTTCCTTTGCATTCTTCTTTGGAATTAATTCGCGATGTCATGGGTAGCTCTCTAGATTGGGGTCCCTTGATAGGGTCCCCAAGATAGTAGGGCACCCATATAAGAAGGGCTTCGAAGGGGACCCTAATGCCTGGAGACTCCCGAACCGCCTGTTTCGGGAATTTACCTAACATCAGATAAAGGATCCCTCCATGATTTCAGGCATGTTCCTTAACCCTAAACCCTCTCTGAGAGCCGGGCGGTGGGCAGCAGCACTTTCTGCCCGCCGTCAGCAAAGCTGAGAGCTGCCTGCGGCTGTTTGAAGGATGTTTTAGGGTTTAGGGTTTAGGATTTAAGGATCGATAAGGGTTCTACAAGGGTCCAAGAAGGGATCTACTTGTGTAAGGATCTCTAGCGGTTCCATAGGGGTCCTAAAAGGATTCTATAAGGGTTCTGCCAGGCCTCCTCGGAGGGGCTTACTGTAAGGGTTCTATAGGGGTTTGGTTAAGGTTTAGGGTTTAGGGTTTAGGGCTTAGGGTTTAGGGTTCAGGGCTTAAGGTGTGTATATTGGACTTAGGATTCGGGGACCCTTGGGGATATAGACCCTCTCAATAAGGTTCCGTTTGAGAGGGCCAAAAGTAGGGTTCAGAAGGGTCCCCTTTAAGGGGTCTCCCTAATACTAAGGATGGGGAGCACCCACTTATCGCACGCTGGCTCGGCTACAAATTATTCTGGCTCCTGCGTTTGTGTTAGAGTGGCTAAGGGTTTAGGGGGCTACTTGGCAGCCCCTTCTCCACGAAACCCTACACCCGAAACCCTAAACCCGAAGCCCTAAACCCTATAAACCCGAAACCCGAAACCTAAAACATCAAGCAGATTACGTCTCCGGAGCGAGCGTCTCGTTGGTAGCAGTCACAGCGACGAGTTGTGACGACACCACTACGTTTCCGGATCGAGCGTCTCGCTCCCCTGAAGATTGAAGAGTTTATAACACAAACATACACGAATTCATGAGTAAACGTTGGCGTTGCACACCTATGGTGTCCTTGAAGTTTCTACATCTACGATATACAAAGATACACACTAAACGTTGGCCTTGTAAACTTACATTCTTCGGAAAGAATGTTAAGTTTGCGACTCACAGCTATGCGACTTTGCGGGTCGGCGCATGCCAACACACCTCGCACGCTCCGTCGCTGCTTCGCTCGCTCACTCACTCAGTCGCTCAGTCACCCATTCACTTTCTCACTTGCTTGCTCGCTCACGCACTCGCTCACCCGCTGGCTCGCTCCTGCACATACTCACTCACTCGCTCGCTCGCTCACTCACTCACTCTGCACACTCACTCACTCACTCACTCGCCCTCTTCCTTCAGCGTCTGCGATGCTGGCGTTTTCGTCAGCAAATAATTAATGCGCTCTTCCTATGTCTTTCGTCGATACCTTCACGAAAATTGGGTCGGTTACTGGGACGCTTACGAAGGCCAGGATCTCGTCGGTTCTGAGCTCGTCAAATGCCTGGTATCCAGTGGTATATTCGCGAACCCACACATGACACGATGTCGGCCAGCCTTGCACACGGCCAGTAGTTGTGAGCGTTGCCAGCGGTAGAAGCTGCGTTGGCCTCAGCACGCGCTCAGTGAGCCGTGTTGCGACCAGCTGCTTTCGGGGCTGCGACGCAGTACCCGCCACTCGAGGTCCGTGAAGGGAGG